CCAAAAAAGAAAAAATTCAGGACCGAAAACAAAAAAGTTGGTGTCTCAAAAAATGCCGCCATTTTGTTTTTTGGTCCAAAAAATCCAGTAAAGCTGGCAGTCGAAAAATCTAGTTTAAAACAAACATAAACAATTTTACCCCTCTCCCCTCTAAATACCCCAAAAATACCCCTGATCAGTCAGTGAGTCAGTGAGTCAGTGGTAATCGAGCTTTATATAGTATAGATATAGAAGATAGAAGATAGAAGATATGTAGGTATTCATTTGTTTTCCACATGTTCAATAGGGATGTTTCCTGGGTAAAAAGCAAGAGTTTTAATTAGTCCGTAAGTTAGCTTATCAAAAAATACTCGACACCTATTTTTCACTTTTTAAAACTAATGAAAATGTAGAGATAAAGCGTGCCAAAGTTCTAAAGAAAAGGCCCGTGACGTCAGTGAGTGCGTAAAAGTGCTGCACTTTGTGACGTCGCGCGGAACTTCAACGCACTATAACTTTGTAATTATTTGTTTGATTGACAATTAAAAATATACGTGTCCAATATTTTTTTATATTAAAATTGACGGACTAAAAAAATTTTTTTAGGAAACTAGCCTAAAAAATCAATCAAAAATATTCAATAGACTTTTTTGTATTTTTTGTAGTATAATATTATTATAGTTGAATTTTTAGGAAAATATATTCCGTTTATTTCAAATTTCTAGAAAAATTATGAAAACTATGGATTTTTTTTCCTGAAAGTTCAACTCAGTTAAACTTCGATTTGAACTAAAAGGAATAGGTCTGTTATAGTTTATCAATTAAGAAAATGCAATTAAAAAGTGTTGAGTTAATGAAATAATAAATGTATCTTTCTTTCTTTCTTTCAAATAGGTTGGGCGGTTAAATGTCGGACCATGTAACCTTAAGAACAGAAAGTCTTGATAGTCCGACTCCATAATCGAACCAACAGGAAAAAAAAGTTTACGTGGTCCGATTAGTCGGACAAAGCAGTCGGACCACGTGTCCAGAGGGAATCACAGCACTTTTAAGCCGGTTGCACATGTTGTCGTAGACTCACAGTCGCTTTGTTTTTACACAGTTGAATGTGTGTGTGGGAGCTGTGGTGGGGGAAATGTGGGGACACTGGCTCTCGTTGTAGTTACGCGCGACTTCATATCTATTCTCTTTCTATGATCTGAGGTATAGATAATGTATAGGCCTTTAGATCTGTAGTTATAGCTGAAACATTTGTCTAAGTAAATACACACATTTTTGTTAGGTATTGCTTTGCGGGACTATTCCCACCTGCCCATAGATTAATCTAAGCACCTGCCCCACTGTAACTCCTGTAAACCAGGATTTATAGCTTACCCTTCAATGAAACATGACTTTTCTTATTAGATGATCCTGCTAACCCCTAGTACTAATCTAATTATGCTTGTTACGAGTAGGTTCACCACAATGTCCACAATAGTCGAGCGGCGCCGCGGCGTGCGCGAGGTTCGAACCCGGATCACAGAATAAGTAATAGTACTGCCCGGATTCCCCGGATCGCGAGTCGGCCAGTCCAATACCTTCACCGTTCGGCTATTCTTGCTTCAAATTAATTCGGTGCTTTTGAAGTCAGTAGCTATCCCCCGGGGCTATTTAACTTTTTGTTGTATATATGTACATATGTATAGAATATTGTTAGATTTGAATAAACTGTATAATTTAACTTTCGATATTTGGGTTTCACTGGAGGCTGTTATTAGTCCTAAATTATCGGTTTTTCGGATGTTTATTAAAACCATCCATTGATCTGCATTCAAGTAGGTAATCAAATCCGCGGATAACTGTCACTCAAACCAAGTAGGTATAATTCGTTATCATTGACTTATCGATCGGAATATTGAACCCGGAAGATATTTGCTTACTACGCACATGGATAAACGAGTTACTGTGTCGCAAATATTCGTAATGGCCTTCCTTTGACTGGCTGAAACGAGAAGGAAATAAATGATAGCCATGGTTCGGAAACTAGACCACGTGGTATTGTAAGGCCCAGTATAGATGACCCACGCTGAACTGTCCCGCCAAACTCAATGACAGGGGGGCGCTACCATCGTTCAACTATATGGTTTCCAACATGGCAAAAATCTGAACCAGCGATCCGGTATTGACGGTGGCGCCCCACTGTCAATGTCATCGACAGGACAGTCCAGTATTTTGGAACTATACCTCTAGTACGAAAAACTTTCGAGTTCGTTTCGTTGCGTATTCAAAGTGTCATCGAAAAATTTTGTATGAAAAATTAAACAGCGCCCCCTATATTATAGCCGCCCTAGGGGGCGCTGTTTAATTTTTCATACAAAATTTTTCGATGACACTTTGAATACGCAACGAAACGAACTCGAAAGTTTTTCGTACTAGAGGTACTGTACCTCTAGTAGGAAAAACTTTCGAGTTCGTTTCGTTGCGTATTCAAAGTGTCATCGAAAAATTTTGTATGAAAAATTAAACAGCGCCCCCTATATTATAGCCGCCCTAGGGGGCGCTGTTTAATTTTTCATACAAAATTTTTCGATGACACTTTGAATACGCAACGAAACGAACTCGAAAGTTTTTCCTACTAGAGGTACTGAACAGACGGCGAAACGAAACTGCAACTTTCTGATGATTCTGATGAATGAAACTAAAACTGAAAGTTTCAAACTGGTCGCGTCATGTGTGGTCTCTCAACGGACTCTATGGCAGAAACTTAGATGCAATTCAAAAGTAACTAGCAGTTGCAGTTTCGTTGCAGTTGCGTTTCACCGTCTGTTCTGGGCCTTAGACACGTATATGATACGGTATCATCATTGATACCTACAATTTTTCAAGAAGATAGCGTTATATCCTAAAGATCTGTAAAACGCACCTTTAACCCCCCGCGCCCCCTTTATTAATCTAAGGGCGACGGTTTAATCATTTACCATCAGGTGATACGTCTGCTCGTAATATCTAATCCCATCAAAAACAATACTTGTCAAAAAAACCAAGTCTCGCAACTCAGTTGTTCTACGGTAAAAAGTTGTGAGATCCATGTAATACCAAGTCCAGGCCAGGAAATCTTTAACGTTTTACATAAATCTATTGACTTGGCCATCGCACTAAATAATTTAATTTACACGTGTTTTCATGCGATGGCCAAGTCAATATATTTATGTAAAACGTTAAAGATTTCCTGGCCTGGACTTGGTATTACATGGATCTCACAACTTTTTACCGTAGAACAACTGAGTTGCGAGACTTGGTTTTTTTGACAAGTATTGTTTTTGATGGGATAGTTTTTCCTTGATTCATACACCAAACACTACTTATATTCCAAATTTGAAGCTTCTAGGTCTGCTAGAAGTGCCTTAGAGTTTTGATGATCGGTGAGTCAGTGAGTGAGTCAGTGAGTCAGTGAGTCAGTCAGTGAGTGACAAAATTAAGTAACTTTGACCCGTTATAATTCTTAAACTACTGGTTCAAATTGAATGAAATTTTAAATATACCGTGTCTTTACAATGCCTGCATAGCTAATGAAAATTCAGCCTTCTAGTTTTATCCACAACGAAGTTACAGGCGGTCGAAAATGGCCTGAATTGCTTCGAGAAAAGGATGGTACGGCCGTGCCGCTTTTTTGCTCGACTTGGTGGGGGCACTGCCGTGCCCCCAGATTATTTTATTAAGTCCATTTTATCCATTTATTTACCTAGTTAGGGGCCAGCCATAATTTATTACGTCACATGTTAAGGGGGAGGGAGGGGCGCGGCTAAGTGTGACATTGTGTGACAAGGGGGTGGTAAGGGGCAAAATAATAAAGCACAGCATCACCTATCACGGAAAGATACACAGCGCGCCATCTATCTCCAACCTTACAAAACACTGTGCTGTGTAACAGGTATGCGAGACAGTAACTATGGTAACTATTCAACCCTCCTCAGTTGCCCGAGAACTTGCTGTCTCAATTTATCAATAGATGTCGCTACCTCACACTTTACCTAAAGTATTTTTATTTATTTTGAATTAATATTATGATTTAAGTTAAAAGTAAGGGTGGATTCGACCAAACAAGAGTAAATAATAAATGTTAATCTCAGAATAAATCGTCAGTTTTGACATACACATACCGACAGATTTAGAGGAATGGAAAAAAAATCTTCAATGTCATCATTATTTTAGGTAAAAAAGACCTTTTTATTCAATTTAATTCCAAATATGAAAAAAAAAATTGCCAACTGTAGATATATTTTTTTTATTATTTTCTTTAAATTACCCCGCCAATATTTTCGTTGAGTGTTTTGAATGAGGGTTTTCCCGAATGAAAGATCCGCTAGATGGCGGGACGTTGATGTGGGGTCTGACTGCTGCGTGATTGGTGGATTTTGACATATCTGTCAATGTTATGTCAAAAATAACCAATCATGCAGCATTTGGACCTCGCGTCTACGTATTGCCATCTGGCGGATTTTTCATTTCCGAAAACCCTCATTGAATGAAGCTGTTACTAATTTGGATTTATTTTACGTGAAAGTTGTTTTTTTCTGAGAATTTCGTTGTGTAAGCATTCAGTTACTTACAAGTTTATTATCCCTTCTATGATCTGAGATTATGGCCAACTTAGCACCGTCAGAAATCATTAAGGCAGATGAATTGAAAAAAAAAAAAACGGTCATGCATGCAGACAGATCGACTGCCGTAAGACTTCGTCGAAGAAGAGACAACATCGAGCCATAGGGGCAGCGTCAATCACTTGTTGACTAAAATAAAAACATTAACTCCTTCTGGTGCAGTCGGGAGAAAATACCTACCAACTAAAAGTAACGTACGCCGACCATTGAGTTATAATGTACTACGTAGTAATAATTATTACTTCAATGACACTGACACGATTTTGTTACATTTCTGATTGTTTTCATACATTTTCATTCAGCAAGTAACTGATAAATAACAAATTTGGGTCTACCAATGAACTGGGTTTTGGCAAGTTGACTTAGAGACTAGAGTTTTATTTTATTTTATTGACAACAGATAGTAACTATAATAAAAATTACAATTCAAACAGTTTAAAGTAATTATACACAACCAACACAGTTATCCACATGAACATACCAGGGATGCTTAGCTTCAATCGCGCGATTTTATCGATTTTACGCGATAAGCATAAGTAATTTGTCATCTAAAATCATCCATAGGATCATAGGATTTTATCACGGCGCGCCCTCCAACCCGGCTGTACTAATAAAAGTGAAAAGGCACAGTAAAAATACAAAAATAAAGTACAAGGGCCAGCAATGCATTCCTAGAGTTGTTGAATTTCGCTGCTTTATTTGGCAACGTTCTGGGCAAAGTCTCACACTCAGGGATTCCGTAATTCGCAACTACACCAAAAGTGTTTTTTGAGAGCGTGACCACTAGCATAGGTTCAACGTTTTGTTTGTCCTTTGCCAATTTCCAGACGGTGTTGTAAAACCCCAAATCGACCCAGTAGATCCAGTCCTCTGATACTGTTAAAGTATTTATTAGTCGTAGATGAGAGCCATTTAGCAATATCTGCCTGTCCTCTCCTTCTAGGTTGGAACTTTCTATGGAAAAACGTTCGCCCTCTTTTTCATCTGCCCAATATAATCTCTTAGTTCTTTGGTCGATGGCTAGGCCCCTTGGCATATAGAGATCAGTGTGAACAATAACCTCCCTCTCTGAACCATCAAATTTGGATCTTTCTATCGATGCCATTGAATTGTGCTGGACAGATGTCCAGTAAATGTATCTGGAATGAAACAGAATAAATTTCAATGTACAGCTGTTATGTAACATTATGAAGAAACATTATTTATAATGGCCATTAATGGACACAGTCGTTATAGTTAAAATGTTATGTACCTAGCTGAATTTAAGTAAAAAACTTTTCAGCTTTGTTTTCGAAAGTTTATTGCGTGTAACATGTTTCCATGATGTGTATAATACAGTGTGAGTCACGTTAAAGTGTACATATGATAATTAACTTTTTTTAAAAATAAAACCGACTTCAAATGCGTGAACACAAAAAAAAACTAAAAATTAAAAATATTGCGTATAAAAAAGTTTATCCCCAATTTTCCACCCTTGGGGGTGAAATATTTTCTTCAAATTCGCATGAAACCACCCTTTTGATAATACCTATTCAACAAAAAAATAATCGTTCAAATTGGTTTATAATCGGCGGAGATATTGCGTATAAAAAAGTTCATCCCCAATTTTCCACCCTTGGGGGTTGTTTTTTTTATTATTAAATTTAAATGGGACCACCCTTGAGGTATTACCTATACGCCGAAAAAAGATTTGTTCAAATCGGTTCATAATTGGCGGAGTTATCGCGTAACAAACATAGAAAAAAAAAACATACGGGTCGAATTGAGAACCTCCTCCTTTTTTGAAGTCGGTTGAAAATAGATGAAACTAGACCTATTTTTATCGACAAAAAAGAGGTCAAAATTTTTTTTGCGATTTTTTTTTAATTTTTTATAGAATTTTTTTTTCTTCCAATTACCTACTTATTGTAAAGAACTTATAAACTAAGCGGTATATCGTGATAAAATAAAAACAGTAATAATGCTAGATAACAGGTGATACTAAAAAAATACATAGAAATACACAAAAAAGCTAACAAATAATAAAAATAGATACTTTTTGAAAATAATCTACTTTAAAATTCATGTTTTTTTTGGTTATTTGATAAATTTCTCCAAAAAATGCCCCTATAACCAGTAGTTTTTATTACTCTGTATTATTCTCTATCGTATTCCTTTCGTAAAACAAAAACCGCATGTCTCTATCCCTATCACAACGTTTGCAATGATCGTTTGAACTAAGCCTCTCCGGGCGCGCAATTAAACGCTTCGTTAACAACGAAACTGAAAATGGCTCTAGATTTGTAATTTTGATAAAGACAAGTTAGATTTTAAATAAAAACAAAAGATTTCGAAGTAAAATAAGCATTTCACTGCACAACAAAATTGCACCTTTTGGCTGATGATTGACTTTCAGTACATGATGTTTACTAATTTGACGTCGCTGATTCTGAATCTGCCGTCCATTTTTTCGTAGCAGCTCTTATTTATTTATTTATTTATTTATTTATTTATTAGGGACATCAACAGCTTACAGATTTCAATGTAACATTAGACACTTAACACTAAGGAAAGCCAATAACAGATATCCACGCAGTAACTTAGTTTAAATTTTGTCTGTGTACAAACAAACATTTGTGAAAAGAAGCTGAGATAAGTTACATAATTTTATTAGTCTTATTACAAACATTTTACAATTAAACTTGTAAAATATTTGCAAAAAAACAGTGCTCATAACCTATTAAATTATACTATAATTACATTCCACATTGTTATTTACCATTTACTCGAACGCCAAATGGAGGGAAGCACAGCAAAGAGCGAGGTTAAGCGCTGTCATCAACCTTATCACACAGACAAGGTTGAGCAACGGTTTCTGCGACATGAAATTGATGGTGTTGCATAGTCATCGTTACATAGTATAAAACAAAGTCGCCTTCCGCTGTCTATCCCTATGTATGCTTATATCTTCAAAACTACGCAACGGATCTTGATGCGGTTTTTTTAATTAGTTATTAGATTAAGATATTCAAGAGGAAGGTTTTTATGTAAGTAAGTATAACATATTGCACTTGTGCGAAACACGGGCGGATCGTTAGTTAATTATTAAGACATNACGTGTTATAGCTTTCACTCAAAAATTGCTAAATTTCAGTCTTAATTCGCCGACAGTTCAAAAAATACTATGTTTTCTTTGTATAATTTAATATGGTAGCATTAAGAAGTGTTAGTGTGAATAATATAAATCAATTTTGTTTCATTTGCGGAGAGGATATGTTTGAATAATCCGTTTAAATGTGACAAAGTTCGTAAAATTGGCTTACAAAAATTAGTTTGGGAACCCAGTGGAAATGAAAGATAAGCCTTGAATTCCGCAAAAGGCGTGGAAAAGATGCGTTGAGTTTTTACGTTTGTGAACAAATAAGAATATGAGTAGATTTAGGTTCGAAACCGCTATGATTTGAAAGGAACCCTTGAACCATCGCGACGACTGTTATTTTTATTTTTAAACAGTAATGGTATTAACACAAAAAAATTAAGTAAATGGTAATTCCTTGCATACGTTTGGCATGTATACGTCTTTTAAACCCTAAGAAGTCACCTAAACCTCATGCTGATACTTCACAGGAGGATTTTGAGGCGAAAACTGGCAGTGTGGTAGAGACTTTGAATGTGACCCGAAAATTTCAAAACCATGTAGCCAAGATGGTTTAAACGATCGTTTCAGAGATCTAGGATCTTCAAGTCTTCAGAAAAGACATGGAATGAGTTATTTTGACATACTAATTATTTTTTTTGGAAAATCCGTAAAAATCGTACTATTCTACACAACGAACAACGCATGAGTCACTTACAAACATGTTTTTTTGGTTGGATGTAATATAAACATAAACTTACACTCTCTTCGCAATCACCTGAACAATTTCTCACAACTCTTAAGGATCTAAGTGAAGAACATGGCGAGCAAATCCACCAGGGCCTTCGTACGATAGAGGGAGGCTATCAGGGCCACTGGAATGCACACATGATGGCTGACTGCTGTTGAAGCATTCAGAAGAACTGTCTTCCTTTAGCTTCAGCAAGGAAGTCAAATTAATGAAAGTTTTTTCAACTTAACAACTTCATAAAATAGGATCATCTCTAAAAAAAGAGTGTTTTATTACAAAAAGACCCAAGTGTCATATTTTTTTAACCAGAGCTGATACAGACATTTTAATCACAGATTTGAAATCGTCATTAAAAATTGGACTAATATCATGTAACATCATAACCCAATCATCAGAAATGCTGTTGTGTAGTGTTTTAGTTAAAATTAAAATTGTATCTAGTACCTGTAGCGGAGAATAATGTTGTGGCAGGCCTTTGTTCAAACGATCATAGCAAATGTTGTGATATGGATAGAGACATGCGATTTTTGGTTTTACAAAGATAATACGATAGAGAATAATACAGAGTAATAAAAACCACGGGCATTTTTTGGAGAAATTTATCAAATAACCAAAAAACACGAATTTAAAAGCAGATTTTTTTCAAAAAGTATCATTTTTTATTATTTGTTGGCATTTTTTGTGTATTTTATGTATTTTTTTAGTATCGCCTGTTATTTAGCATTATTACTGTTTTTATTTTATCAGGATATACCGCTTCGTTTAAAAGTTGTTACGTTTTCTTTACAATAAAGTAATTGGACAAAAAAAATTCTATAATATTTTTTTTTTAAAATCTCAAAATATTTTTGACCTTTTTTTGTCGATAAAAATAGGTCTAGTTTCATCTATTTTCATATGTACACTTTAACGTGACTCACACTGTAGGTATAACCATGACCAAGGAAAGACGAGAACCTATTGCCATCAACGACATGGCCAAGAAATAAAAATTGGTACATCAATAAGTAACAATAATATCTTAAAAAAAGGTAGCTTACCCTCTGCAGCTATCGACGGCAATCAATTCTGGAGTATAATGTTTCATTTTGATCAAAAGGTGGCCATTGCCATCGTTTTCGGAGTCTGGCATCAATGACATCCAGAATATGCTTCTTTCCATTGTGTCAGTCCAGAAAAGCATTCTTTTGACGGGATCAAAGGCCATACTCTCTACGTTCTCGAGCTGCTTTTTCTTGGTTAAGGGCTGGAACTTCTTTGTTGTTAAATTAAAGCTGAATATGGTTGTGTTGTCGTTTCCCCTGTCGACGAAGAACAGCACGTTGTTGACAGCATCGTAAGCCAAAGCAGAAAGCTCCCAAAAGTCAGTGCCTTCGCTGTTCGTTTTGGTTTGGTTACTGTAGAACTCTAGTTGGCCCTCACTGGAGATAACAAAATCTGAAACAAGGAAATTAACTATGAGAAAAATAGTATTTATCTTCATTTTTCTTACGAGCCTAAACCTATTTTTTTTATCGTATATTTTTTAAATTATTCAAACATTTGCGTCTGTAGTAAATAATCATCTTGATGAGCTGATAATGGAAGATAAATATCCTTAACTTTAATCTTAATCTTCAATCATCAGCTCATCTTCTAATGAAATTGAAGTTTAGCGAAACGATGCACTGTGGGCCCGGCAGAGGTCAAAAGTAAAAAAAATCAGTTGTCTATTAATCTTTTTTTATTTACGCAGATAGATAGTTAAAAACCTCTAGTTTTAGAAAATATTAAAGTACCAACATGTTTCTTAACAAATTGGTATACTTTTACGAGTCAGAAGTCATTGCTTGCAAGCCTAAGGACGGTTGCTATCAGCGCGTCCTAAGTTTATTGCTTTGTTTACATAAAGTTTTGTTTATAAATTGTATTTAAAACTAGTGAATTTAACAATAGAAATCCTGGAAAAAGGTAATGTGTAACTTGTTGTCAAAATTTTAAAGTTGTATGGCTAGTATTAACATGTCAAATATGATGAAAATAATTGATAATTTATTGAATATTTTTAGACTTTTAGTTTAGTTCCCCGTCGTGCCCCGTAACAATTTATACGTCATTAGTTAGCTGACAATACGCTTTATTATATTTTGTATGCAATTTCACCCAAGAGTACCAAAGGTCTTGACAGTAGGGGTCCAAAGTTGCATTATTAACTTAGTTTTAAAATTCAAAACAATTGATTTTTCTGTTATAAGCTAAGAAATTCATTGCTCGTTTTCAAGATTGTTAGTATTTGAGCAATGGAATGTTAAAAAAAGTCACGAATGCTGAAAAGTCTCGTCTTGTGTACCAACATCTAAAGTTATCATTAGTTAGTGATGAGAAAAATATTGACATGCAGAATTTAGAAAATAAGAGTAATTACATGTGCAAAAAAAATTGTGAGTGTTTTAAAAAGGCATCTCAGTCTACAAAAGTTTTCAAAAATAGACAATCTGACTGGTTAAGCGATCCTTATATCACTGGTTTGCGAAATTTGCCTAAAAAAAGGAAGTCTTCTTTACCCAAAGAGTGTATTACTTTAATTTCAGTAGAATAATATAATATTATACAATGTTTTACAAAGTATTTTATTTTATTAAGAAGTTTTCCACTTTTGACCGCTGTTACATAGACGCGGGACCACCGTGCGATGCAACTGTGTCGAGTTTGGGCAGAGTAAATACAAATGAGTAGGTCATCTTCATAGAAACGCACCGAGCGCGGTTTGTATGTGAGCGCGCCAATACGTATGCGGCGCGCACGCACACACTGAGAAAATTTAGCGTGGTTGCGCCGAATTTTGTCAGTGTGTGCGTGCGCGCTATTGACGCGCTCACATACAAACCGCGCTCGGTTCGTTTCTATGAAGATGACCTACTCATTTGTATTTACTCTGCCCAAACTCGACACAGTTGCATCGTTTCGCTAAACTTCAATTTCATTAGAAGATGAGCTGATGATGGAAGATTAAGATTAAAGTTAAGGATATTTATCTTCCATTATCAGCTCATCAACATGATTATTTACTACAGACGCAAATGTTTGAATAATTTAAAAAATATACGATAAAAAAAAATGTATATAAAATAGCACGTGTTATAAATAATAATAGGTACAAGAGAAGAGAAGAGAGTTCGTTTCGGATTAGCAAGCTGAAGTGGCAATGGGCAGGGCACATAGTAAGCAGAACTGACAGCCGATGGGGCAGCAAGGTTCTGGAGTGGAGGCCACGTACTTACTGGAAAGCGCAGCGTAGGATGTCCACCTATGAGATGACCTCAGGAAGGCGCTGGATGCAGGCCGCTAACAATCGGCCTTTGGGGAAATCATTCGGGGAGGCCTTTGTTCAGCAGTGGACGTCCTATGGCTGAAATGATGATGATGATACATGAGTAACTCACCCCATGAGTCAGCTGGATTCTCGTCACAATCAGAGCACAGTGAGTGAACTAAGCCGATGGACAAGGCAACAACGCCGAGTAGAATCTCCGTCTTAAACATTTTGTTTCATAAAATATACATAATACAAATTAGTTCGAATATTGTGCGTACAATGTCGTCCAGAGTAATGAAATGAATAATACTTTTAAATCAGGGAACGTATTGCATGTTGTTTTGAAAATTTTTATCGCGGGTCACGTTACTGAACTTTAGATTTGATAAAACACTAATCAAACCTAATAATATGTTTAGATATTCTTATATTTAATCTCTTTAGGTTAAGAGCTGGAATCACAACACCGACTCTTTACAAGTCCTACTTTGGCCAATCTTAACTTTAAAATAAGTATAAGTATTGAATCAACTATCCTCTTATTTGGAAGTAGGTATCTAGGTTACCTAGTACCTACCAAATCAAATACGAGACCTATGTACTGAGTGAAAATGTTTTAGTTGAGTTTGTATGCGATTTACTCTTTCTTGACTCAGATATTTGATCTTTTTCTTGATAGGCCATTCAAAGTTTTCAATATTTTTTATTTATAAATATTTAGTCTATGTAGGTTAATTATTTGTATTATTCTTAATTTTCTTCTAATATTGCGAAACTAAAATTACAGAACAGAATCACCGTTTTCAAATTAATCTTTTCCCATAAGTAGTTTTAAGACTTATTATTATACGCGTGTGTGAGCGCGGTAAGTTTATCAATTTATTTGCGTTGTCAGCAGCATTCATTAAATCCTCCTGAGTGCAGTTGCTCGGGCACTCAGGGCACGACGTCACGTGCTTCATCGACTGGGGAACAAAACCGCACCTGCACTTCATGTTTGCCAATTTGCGCATTTGACATTTTGCGAATTTGACAATTTGCGAATTTGGCAGATTGCGACCGCTTGACAATTTGCGAATATGACAATATTTGCTCATAAAGGACAAGAACCGCTAAAATTTCGTAGGATTCTAAACGAGAGATAAATAATTGTATTATTTTACGCCAACATCTTCGCAAATTGATCTTCTTCTTATCGTGTCGACAGCAAACCTACACAGTGTCAGCCCAAAACTCCGCTACAAGAGTGGAAATAGAGTAAATAAATAATAAATAGAAAGTTAAATAGACTTCGGGCAGGTTGGCCGTAGTAAGGACAATCTGGTCAAGTGGGGATTCTTGGATGGCTCAAACATGGAGTGCAGGTGCGGTTTTGTTCCCCAGTCTATGAAGCACATGATGTCGTGCCCTGAGCCTGAGTGCCCGAGCACTTAGGAGGATGTAATGAATGCTGCTGACCACGCAAATTGATCAGGTGATCCATCTGTTCGTTTGCCTCCTGTCACATAAAAAAAAAACTTACCGCACTCACGCGTAAAATAATAAGTCTAAAAACTACTTAATGGGAAAAGATTAATTTGAAAACTTTGAATGGCCTATCAAGAAAAAGATCAATTTAAAAATGAAGTCATTAATATCCGAGTCAAAAAAGAGTAAATCGCATACAAACTCAACTAAAATCTTCTCACAAATTCATAGGTCTTGTATTGTATTAGATTTGGTACTAACCTAGATAACCTAGATTAGACACCTACTTCCAAATAAGAGGATAGTTGATTCAATACTTATATTTTAAAGTTAAGATTGGCCAAAGTAGGACTTGTAAAGAGTCGGTGTTGTGATTCTAGCTCTTAACCTAAAGAGATTAAATATAAGAATATCTAAACATACTTATTAGGTTTAATTAGTGTTTTATCAAATCTACAGTTCATTAACGTGACCCACGATAAAAATTTCCAAAACAACATGTAATACGTTCCCTGATTTAAAAGTATTATTCATTTCATTACTCTGGACGACATTCTACGCACAATATTCGAACTAATTTGTATTATGTATATTTTATGAAACAAAATGTTTAAGACGGAGATTCTACTCGGCGTTGTTGCCTTGTCCATCGGCTCAGTTCACTCACTGTGCTCTGATTGTGACGAGAATCCAGCTGACTCATGGGGTGAGTTACTCATGTATCATCATCATCATTTCAGCCATAGGACGTCCACTGCTGAACAAAGGCCTCCCCCAATGATTTCCACAAAGGCCCATTGTTAGCGGCCTGCATCCAGCGCCTTCCTGAGGTCATCTCATGGGTGGACATCCTACGCTGCGCTTTCCAGTACGTGGCCTCCACTCCAGAACCTTGCTGCCCCATCGGTCGTCAGTTCTGCTTACTATGTACCCTGCCCATTGCCACTTCAGCTTGCAAATCCGAAACGAACTCTCTTCTCTTCTCTTGTATACATTATTTTTTTATCGTATATTTTTTAAATTATTCAAACACTAGCTTTCCGCCCGCGGCTTCGCCCGCGTGGAATTTTGTCTGTCACAGAAAAACTTTATCGCGCGCGTCCCTGTTTCAAAAACCGGGATAAAAACTATCCTATGTTCTTTCCCGGGACTCAAACTATCTCTATGCCAAATTTCATCAAAATCGGTTGCGAAGTTTAAGCGGGAAAGCGTAACAGACAGACAGACAGACAGACAGACAGACAGACAGACAGACAGACAGACAGAGTTACTTTCGCATTTATAATATTAGTTGGGATTTGCGTCTGTAGTAAATAATCATCTTGATGAGCTGATAATGGAAGATAAATCTCCTTAACTTTAATCTTAATCTTCCATCATCAGCTCATCTTCTAATGAAGTTGAAGTTTAGCGAAACGATGCAACTTTGTCGAGTTTGGGCTCGTAAGAAACATGAAGATAAATACTATTTTTCTCATGGTTAATTTCCTTGTTTCAGATATTGTTATATCCAGTGAGGGCCAACTAGAGTTCTACAGTAACCAAACCAAAACGAACAGCGAAGGCAGTGACTTTAGAGACCTTTCTGCTTTGGCTTACGATGCTGTCAATAACGTGCTGTTCTTCGTCGACAGGGCAAACGACAACACAAGCATATTCAGCTTTAATTTAACAACAAAGAAGTTCCAGCCCTTAATCAAGAATAGACGGCTCGAGAACGTCCAGGGTCTGGCCTTTGATCCCGTCAAAAGAATGCTTTTCTGGACTGACACAATAGAAAGCAGCATATTCTGGATGTCATTGATGCCAGACTCCGAAAACGATGGCAATGGCCACCTTTTGATCAAAATGAGCCATGATACTCCAGTATCGATTGCCGTCGATAGCTGCAGAGGGTAAGCTACATTTATTGAAGATATTATCGCGATATCGTTACTTATTGATGGACCAATTTTTATATCTTGGCCATGTCAGTTGATGGCAATAGGTACTCGTCTTTCCTTGGTCACGGTTATATTATAATACGTCATGGAAACATGTTACACGCAATAAACTTTCGAAAACAAAGCTTAAAAAGTTGTTACTTAAATTCAGCTAGGTACATAATATTTTAACTATAACGACTGTGTCCATTAATGGCTATTATAAATAATGTTTCTTCATAATTTTACATAATAGCTGTACATTGAAATTTATTCTGTTTCATTCCAGATACGTTTACTGGACAAGTATCCTGCATCCAATGGCATCGATAGAAAGATCTAAATTTGATGGTTCAGAGAGGGAGGTTATTGTTCACACTGATCTCTATATGCCAGTGGGCCTAGCCATCGACCAAAGAACTAAGAGATTATATTGGGCAGATGAAAAAGAGGGCGAACGTTTTTCCATAGAAAGTTCCAACCTAGAAGGAGAGGACAGGCAGATATTGCTAAATGGCGCTCATCAACGACTAAATACTTTAACAGTATCAAAGGACTGGATCTACTGGGTCGATTGGGGGTATTACAACACCGTCTGGAAATTGGCAAAGGACAAAGAAAACGTTGAACCTATGGAAGTGGTCACGCTCTCAAAAAACACTTTTGGTGTAGTTGCGAATTACGGAATCCCTGAGTGTGAGACTTTGCCCAGAACGTTGCCAAATAAAGCAGCGAGATTCAACAACTCTAGGAATGCATTGTTGGCCCTTGTATTTTATTTTTGTATTTTTACTGTTCCTTTTCACTTTTATTAGTACCTACAGCCGGGTTGGAGGGCACGCCGTGATGAAATCCTATGATCCTATCGATGATTTTAGACGACAAATTACTTGTGCTTATCGCGTAAAATCGATAAAATCGCGCGATTGAAGCTGGTCGCGGCGCGCATCCTTGGTATGTTCATGTGGAATAATGTGGATAACTGTGTTGGTTGTGTATAATTACTTTAAACTGTTTGAATTGTAATTTTTATTATAGTTACTATGTGTTGTCAATAAAATAAAATAAAACTGTAGTCTCTAAGTGAACTTGCCAAAACTCGTTTAGAATCCTACGAAATGGCAATGCCAGATTTTGTATGGAAGGTGGCGTCTTTTTTTTTCCCGCGGCCATCGACCAAACTTTGTTTTTTGATTACAAAATAGTGTAATAAACCAAACTTACTATGACATGTATACCTCTAAACTCAGTCTGAACTGAGTTACGAGCATTAGAAGTTTGATGATTTTCATACTAGATTTGCTTTTTGTGCGCAAGTTTTGTAAGAAATTGCAACAAAATATTGCGCTATTTTTTTATTGCGCTGATTCTGCTCCATACTGATGTCTGGAGCCTTTAATGGATGATGTTGTTTGTTTACACATACAATCTCACTATTTTGTTGCAATTTCTTACAAAACTTTGCGCGCAAAAAGCAAATCTAGTATGAAAATCATCAAACTTCTAATGCTCGTAACTCAGTTCAGACTGAGTTTAGAGGTATACATGTCATAGTAAGTTTGGTTTATTACACTATTTTGTAATCAAAAAACAAAGTTTGGTCGATGGCCGCGCGAAAAAAAAAAAGACGCCAATTTCCGGCATTGTCTTTTTAGCGGTTCTTGTCCTTTATGCGCAAATTGTCAAATTCGCAAATTGTCAAGCGGTTTCAATCTGCCACATTCGCAAATTGTCAAATTCGCAAATTGCCGAATTTGCAAAATGTCAAATGCGCAAATTATCAAATTCTCAAAATGTCAAGTTTTAAAAATGTCCAGTTGTTTAGGTTTAATAATAAAAGTCAAGCAATTAATTGGCAGAACTTTTAATCATTAAAATGTGTTAAGGTTTTTTTAAAACCTAAAGAGGATTTAGGACG